TAATGGACCACAAGTACTACAGCCTCCACCAGACTGAGTCCAGCACAACTAGATGGTGCCCAGTTACCATCACTGACTGCTCTAATAGGGATCACAATAGAAAGTCCTGGACAGAGCTGGAGAAAAATGTAGAAGAAAATTCTAACTCACAAAAAACAAAAACAAACCAACAAAAAAAACCAGACTTACTGGTCTGACAGAGCCTAGAGAAACCCCGAGAGTATGGCCCCTGGACATCCTTTTAGCTCAGCAATGAAGTCACTCCTGAGGTTAACCCTTCAGCCAAAGATTAGACAGGCCCATAAAACAAAATGAGACTAAATAGGCACATGAGCCCAGGGGCAAGAATGAGAAGGCAGGAGGGGACAGGCAAGCTGGTAATAGGGAAACCCAAAGTCAAGAAGGAGAGAGTGGTGGGACATGTTGTGGGGTTGGCAACTAATGTCACAAAACAATATGTGTACTAATTGTTTAATGAGAAGCTAGTTTGTTCTGTAAACTTTCATCTAAAGTACAATTTTAAAAAAAGATACAGGCTCAATTAAAAAAACAAAAAAATCATGTCCCTCTTCTGTTCAAATACCAGCACACCCCAGACCCCCCGTTTATGTATACGTAAAAGACAAAGTCTTTGCAATAGCCTACAAAGCCCCACAAATTCTGCCCCTTCGGACTCTGATCTCATCTCCTACTACTGTCCTCACTTACTCTGCTCTAGCCACACTGGGTGCCTTGCTATTCCTTAAACACTAAGGAAGCTGCTGTCTCAGGGCCTTTGCACTTATTGTCTGCTCTTCTTCTTGGATTGCTCCTCCACCTGTTATCCACATGGCTCAATCCCTTACTTCCTTCAGAGGCCTTCTCCAACCATCTGATCTTTATCTTTACTTGCCTGGTTGCTTACTATCTGTTTCCCTCTACTAGAATGTAAGTTTCATGAGGTTAGAAGCTTTGTATTATATAGTGGCCAACTCTCAGTGCTTAAAATCTAGTACACAACAAATAAATCCCTGTTGAATGAACAAATCAAAATTAATTAGCGCATAGAACCAGGTTCACCACTGTGAGTAGCCTACCTCCTTTGTCCTGGACCCTCATGTACCTATCTAGTCACCAAGAGATTGCTTGGCTGTAGCCTGAAAAGTACACATTAAGAATCTAGCCTCCATGGCTCAAAGAGGTTGCTCAAGGGCATATAACTAAGTAACATTGCATCTGTGCAGTTTTGACCATGAACACTATTGCATGGATTGGTTCCAAGTGACTTACATAGTTGCCCTGAACCCAGCACCATATTATGATTGTCTTGGGCCCTAGGCACTTTTGCCTTCCTGGGCTCCTCCATCCATAAAACAAATACTAAAAAGTATATTTTACAACTGCATTAGTATAAAGACTAATGTTACACAAACAGTTAACACGTTCGGCTGACAACCAAAAGACTGGAGGGTAGAGTTCACCCAAAGGCACCTCAGAAGAAAGGCCTGGAGAGCTTCTGAAAAGTCAGCCATTGAAAATCCTTTGGAGCACAGTTCTACTCTGACATACATGGGGTTGCCATGAGTTGGAGTTGACTCCATGGCAATCGGTTTTTTGGTTCAGGCACTTTTGCCTTCCTGGGCCCCTTCCCCCATAACACAAATATTAAAAAGTATATTTTACGACTGCACTGGTATAAAAACAAATGTAATCCAAAGTGGATCAGTCATTATTATGATTTTTTATTTTAAAATAAATTAAAACATTTTAATGGGCTCCTAAAGTACTGTGGCCCTGGACACTATGTCCACTGTGCCCAGTGGAGAAGTCAGACCTGCCTGGATACAGGTGAGAGTATAAGTGCCAACAGGGAGGAGAACGGGTGTCGTCTAGGGACTGGAGGAGTGGCTAAAGACAGAGTTCTTTTTAGATGAGAAGAGATGCTACTTGTCTTGCATTTTCACAAACTGAATAGTGTTATGGATTGATTGTTTCCCCCAAAAATATGTGTCCAACTTGCCTATGCCATGATTCCCAGTATTATGTGGTTGTCCTTCACTTTGTGATCTGATGTGATTTTCCCATGTGTTGTAACTCATCATCTCTGCCTGTGGTTAATGAGGAAAGATTAGGTTATTATGTTAAAGAGTATTAGGGTGGGATGCAACACCCTTACTGAAGTCACAGCCCTGATCCATGTAAGGGGAGTTTCCCTGGGGTGTAGTCTGCATCACATTTTATCTTACAAGAGATAAAAGGAGAAAGAAGTGAGCAGAGAGAAAGGACCTTATACCACCAAGAAAGAAGTGCTGGGAGCAGACTGCATCCTTTGAACCTGGGGTCCGCATGCTGAGAAGCTCCTAAACCAGGGGAAGACTGATGACAAGGACCTTCCCCCAGAACCAACAGAGAGAGAAAGCCTTCCCGAAAGCTGGCACCTGAATTCGGACTTCTGTCCTCCTAGACTACAAGAGAATAAATTTCTGTTTGTTAAAGCCAAAAAAGAAGAACCTAGCCTCCATGAACAACTACCTCCTTCGCCAGAAGACCAGAAGAGCTGGATGATGTTCGGCTACCATTACTGAACATTTTGATCAAAGATTCTATAGAAGAATCTTGATCAAAAGAGGGAAAATGCAGAACAGAATTTCAAACTATCATGGATTTCAGACTTTCTAGAGCCATGGAGGCTGGATGAACCCCTGAAACTATTATCCTAAAATAGTCTTTAGACCTTAAACCAAAAATATCCCCTGAAGTCTTCTTAAAACCAAACAACAGTTTAGCTTAACTAGTAAAACATGTCTGCCTTGAGCATTATGCTCTTTTAAAAACTATCTATATAGGATCAAAGTGGCAACAGCAACTCAAAAGATTAGATAGGAACCTCAGGGGGCAGTAAGTTTATGTTAATAGGGGAGGAATATATCAGAAAAGGAGGCTGAGAATGGTCGCACAACTCAAAGAATGTAATCAATGTCACTGAATTGTACATGTAGAAACAGCTGAATTGGTGTATGTTTTGCTATGTATAATCTCAACAACAACAAAATAAATAAAAAGAATCTAAGACAGGCCGCAATTGTCTCTATGAGTCAGAGTTAACTTGACAGCAACGCGTTTTATGGTTTTGAAAGTTTTCCAAGCAAGTTAAGATTCAATGTAAAGAACTTGTTACAATCAATTTCTCTGCTTAGACACAGTAAGATTTCTTCTGGCATTCTTTCCAATTTCAACACAGTTGGGTAAAGACACACAGATTAAAACATTTCTTCTGGGTCTTTCTCTTCAAATTCTACCTCAACATTGATTCTTCTCAATTATCTATGCTTCATTATTTTCCATTCATTGCCCATACAGTTATGTGTTCTGGTTTGCCACACTGCCTAATTAATTCTGCAAATTAAGTTGCATGAAATTACAAATTAAAATTCTGTGAGAATTCACATGCAAAAATAGATTACATAATCTAAATTTTAAACTAGTGCAGGCCCATCTACTTAGATGATTTCACTTTCTATATTCTCTGAAAGGGGCTTAATTTTGCATTAATAACTAGAAAGCATCTTCAGGCTCTTTCAGTAGGTTATGTATAAGACTATCTAGCTACAGAATTTAATCAATGATAATTCTAAACGATTATTCCCAATACTAAAGGCATTCTTAAAAGTTAGTCTTTAGAGTTACAGTTTCACAAATTATTTTTACAGATATTACATTACCACTTACTTTGAAAATGAGATATATTTTTTCTTTATGAGCAGGAAATGGCACGAGGTGACAGATCATAAACACAGTTATTACATAATTATATGCACATGAAAATTTAAAATGTGAAATGCTTATATTTTATAACTCTTACAAAAATCAAAATTGTTAAATTCATTGGGCCATAGCAACATAGCAATTTTATATTCAAATAATGGAATGAAAATTAAATTTCCATTTAGTGTAAGTTCAATAGTTCATGCAAATTTATGATAACCTATGGAGGGGAATGTATATTTCATACCTAGGCATGTGGAGTGTGCCTTTAGTGACAATTGTTAATAACCTTATTTTTTTTTTTTTTATCCCCATAACTATCCAAAGCATCCTATGAAGGGCTCAATCAGATCGTGTGAAATACCAAACCTTTCACTCCACAATCCTAAAATCAGTAACATGTCATCTTGTCCTTGGCACCTGGCTTCAGATAGAGATTGTATATCTACCTCCACCCCCACCCCCAACAGTTAAAGTGAAAATAAAAGGAAAGAGAAAGAAAAGAATGATCCTGCCCCTGCTGGTTGGGGCTTCTCTTCCTAAAGAACCACCAAGTACCTCTACTGACCCCAAAACTTAATAACTGATCCTTTGAGTTCCAGGACCAACTTGGGAGAAGTTTAAGTGCCTCCAGATTTCCAAACTGTGTTACGAATCCCTATTCAACAGGCTAGAAAGATAACAAACTACAATGCAAGAAACACCGCAGTACAGACGCCAGCCAAAATGTATTCCTATCTTCCCGGAAGGGAAAAAGAAAGGAAGCAGTTAAAATAAGAATATGAATAAGTGTAAATAGGAAGATGAAATTAGGTTGGGGCATGGCTACCTTTCCCATATTCAGGAGGGCAGTACAGGGTAGGTGTAAAGGGTCTACCCACACGACTCTTCCTTCTTCCTTCAGCACAGCTGGGTGAAATGGTAGTGCTAAGAATGCCAGAGGAAAGAGAAGATATCACCACCCTAAGCTGGTGGCACCGTTCAGCTTGTCACTGAAACCGGAACTTGAAAAGTGGAGAGGGTGGTGAGGAACTGGAGAAGAGCGCGCAATTCCTTCCGACACTAGGGTTACGAGGAGTCCCTGGCGGACCGGGTAGAGGAGGGCAGCCAGAGCCAAGAATGAAAAAGTCCTGATGAGCGTGGCTCCCAGGGAAGAAAAGGGGTCAAAGCCCGCCTCACCTTCTCGTTTCCGCCAGGACCCACAGGTTTTGTCCGGGAGGCGCAACCCCCGGGGCGGTCTGGCCGGCCCCGCTTACCTGCTGCACCCCGAGGAACTGGTAGAAGTTAAGCTGCACCTCCTCCACCAAGTCAAACAACTCCAGGTCTCCGCTTTCCCAGGCGCGCGCTGGACTCCCGGCCGTCAGCAGAAGCAGCAGCAGCAGCAGCAGGGGCGGCGGCTGTGGCAGCGGGAACCGCACGAGCCGGAACAGGCGGCGCTGAGGAAGCCGTGCAAGCCGGGAGCAGAGAGCCGTCATCGCTCTGGGCTCGGAAAGGTCACTCGCCACGCAGTGCCGTCGGCCGAGACCGGGGACGTGGCGGGCAGCGCGGGCTGTGGGGAACTGTGCCTGTCAGTCAGAAACACAGTCGCACCGAAGCCGTCCTCGAGGCAGCCTGCCCCAGAAGGGAAGGGCAGTGTCGGAGGGAGCCGGTGGGCGAGTGGACAGGCAGGGGGGGAGCCCGCTCTACCTTCTGCGAACCTCACCTCCGGGCCTACAAACAGCTGGAAAACCAACGCCGGCGCTGAGGTTGCAGAAGGGGAGAGGCTTCCCTTCGCCTCAGCCTATCCCAATCTTCGCTTCCGGTGACATCACGTCTCCTAGCAACCGGGGAAGAGAGTACGAGACCGGAAGTAAGGAAGACCTGCCGCCCCAGATCTGGGCCTCAGAGAAATGGCACTTAGGCGCTTTATCGCGTGCAGGAGCTGAGCGAATATACGTTTTCATAGAGATATGACAATTATAGACATCGCGCATCTACCTGGAACATCCCACTTTAGACTTAGTCAGAAATAGCTACCTTCTTACCTTGCCCCAGGTATGTAAAGCTAAAGGCCTATTTGAAACCTGATTTATTGATTATGGCCTCTGGTCCATACATTTCATTATTTTATCAGCAAAGATCTAGGAGGAGTTGAACCCAGGGCCTAAAAGGGGCAAGTCTAGTGAGGGGCAAATCTAGTAGTCTACGGTATCCTTTTGAGAGAGGTGAGGCAGAGATGGAATTTGAGCCAACACAAAAAGTGTACTTGTAATTATGAATTAAGATTTACAGGCTTAAGGATAAAATAGGAAGCCTGGTAGAATTAATAATGGTGACTCAGTCAGTCTTAAGGAGCCCTGGTAGCACAATGTTAAGAGCTAGGGTACTAACTGAAATGTCAGTGGTGGAACCCACCAGTGCAGGAGAGAAAAGACCTGGCAATCTACCCCTGTAAAGATTAAACCAAAAAACCAAACCTGTTGCCAACCAGTTGATTCGGACTCACAGTGACACTATAGGACACAAAGAACTGCCCCATAGTATTTCCAAGGAGGAGCTGGTGGATTCCAACTGTTGACCTTCGGTTTGCAGGCCAGCTCTTACCCACTGTGCCACCAGGGTTCCCTTGTAAAGATTACAGTCTAGAGAACCCGATGGGGCAGTTGTAGTCTGTCCTATAAAGTTGCTGTGAGTTGGAATCAACTTCACGGCACAAAATAACAATAACAACAACCAGTCTTGCAAGAAGTATAGTTTATCCACCTTCTTGTTGTTCGTTGCCATAGAGTGATTTGAACTCACAGAGACACCACCTGTGCACAGCAGAACTGCCCCAAAGGGTTTTTTAAGCTGTAATCTTTATGGAAGGAAACAGATCACCAGATCTTTCTCCCATGTTGCCGCTGAGTGGGTCCAAACCGACAGCCTTTCAGTTAGCAGCCAAGTACTTAACCACTGCACCACCAGGGCTCCTTTTTATCCATCTTAACCCACCCCTGATTAGAGTTTATTTCCTTTCCTAATAGAGGTCTTTTTTTAAAAAAAATTGTTTTATTGTGGTAAAAATATATATAGCAACATTATACTGAGTGAAATAAATCAGTCACAAAAGGACAAATATTGTTATGATCCCACTTATATAAAATATCTAGAATAGGCAAGTGTACAGAGATTAAAGTTTATTAATGGTTACCAGAGAGGGGGCAAAGGAAGACACAATGCTTGGGGGATACTGAACCTCTGTTAAGGGTGACGGGAAATTTGAGAATAGTTAATGTTGATGGTGGAACAACATGATGACCATAATTAATGTCACTGAACTGTACATGTGAATATTGTTGAAATGGCAAATGTTTTGATACCTATATGTCTTAGTCATCTAGTGCTGCTATATCAGAAATACCACAAGTGGATGGCTTTAACAAAGAGAAGTTTATTCTCTCACAGTCCAGTAGGCTACAAGTCCAAATTCAGGGTGTCAGCTCCAGGGGAACACTGCCTCTGTCAGCTCTGGAGGAAGGTCTATGTTATCAATCTTCCCTTGGTCTGGGAGCTTCTCTGCACAGGAACTCTGCTTCCAGCACTGCTTTCTTGGTAGTATGAGGTTCCCATGTGTCTCTGCTTACTTCTGTCTTTTATATCTCAAAAGATTGGCTTAAGACACTACCCAATCTTGTATACCTCATCAGTATAACTGCCGCGAATCCATTTTATTAGATCATAGTGATTGAATTTACAACACATAAGGAAATCACATCAGATTACAAAATGGTACACAATTATACAATACTGGGAATCATGACCCAGCCAAGTTGACAGATATTTTTGGGGGATACAATTCAATCCATGGCACTGTATATTTCCCACAATATAAAATATAGTGGAAAAAATATATATAGCAAAATATTTGCCAATTCTATGTTTTTCACATGTACAATTTAGTGACATTGGTTACATTCATCATGTGTGTAACCATCATCACTATCCATCAACAGAAACTCATTGCTCCTAAGTAAGACTCCCCCTTTGCCACTCCCTCCCACCCCTGGTAATCACTAATAAACTCTGGTCTCCATACATTTGCCTATTTCATATAAGTGGGATCATACAATGTTCGTCCTTTTGTGACAGACTTATTTCACTCAGCATAATGTTTTCAAGATTCATCCATGTTGCAGCATATTTCAGAACTTGGCTCCTTTTTATGGTTGAGTGATATTCCATGGTATATATGTACCACATTTTGTTTATTCATTTGTCTATTGATGGACATTTAGGTTGTTTCCATCTTTTGGCTATTGTGAGCATTGCTGTAATAAACATTGGTGTACAAGTTTTCTGTTTGTGTTCTTGCTTTCAATTCTTTTGGTTATACACTTAGGATTGAGATTGCATGAGATCTGTTTTTAACGACATGTGAGCTAAAAACCTCCTCTCTCTTTCCTACCAGTGTCTCACTTCTTAGTTTTACGTTGCTCCTGTTCAGTCTTTTTAAAATTTTTTTTCCTTCATTACTATTGCTTTCTCTTGTGTGAACGTAATCGTCCCTGGCTCCCTACTATTGTTAAGATAGTTGTTATTTTCTGTTGAGTCAATTCCAACTCATGGCTACCCCATGTGTGCACAGTACAACTGCTCCATAAGATTTTCAAGGCTATGGAGTTTCAGAAGCAGATTGCCAGGCCTGTTTTCCAAGGTGCCTCTGGGTGGGTTCAAACTATCAACCTTTTGGCTAGTAGTTGAGCACTTAACCATTTGTGCCACATAAAAGTCATAAGTGAATGCAAGTATATCTTGCTTTAAAATAATATATATGCTTGAGTTAGTCATGTTTTAAATTCATTATGAGGCTTACCTCTCAAAGATACAAGAGAAGATATTTTGCCTTTTTGTATTTCTGAAATTAAGAAGTCACTGGAGAGTAGTACCTGCGGTCTTAAAAGCTTGCAAGCAGCCATCCAAGATACAACAATTAGTCTCTATCTACCTGGAGCAACAGAAGAACAAGACGACCCAGGAATCGGAAAAGGAAATGGTCTGCAGATCTAATTGCCTCCATGAACTGCAATCCTTCCATGAGAACAGAAGACATTGATGGTGCCTGACTACCATTACTGAACGTTTTGATCAGGGACCCAATAGATGGATCTTGATCAAAAGGAGGAAAATTGTGGAACAGAATTTAAAATTTTTATTAGAACTCAGACTTATTGGATACATTGAGACTGGAGGAACCCCTGAATCTATTGCCTAGAAAAAACTTTTAAACCTTGAACTGAAACTATCCCATGGAGTCATCTTTAAACTAAACAACAGTTAAGCTCAATAAAGAATGTTTACCTTGAGTATTGCACCCTTTTAAAGAATTATCCATATGCGGTCAAAATGACAATAATAATTCTAAAGCACCAATAAGAACTTTAAGGGACCAAAAGAGTCTACATTAACTGTGGTGAAATAATATAGGCAAAGATAGTGGTAATGGTGACACAACATGAAGTATGTAACCATTGTCAATGAACTGTATATGTAAAAATTGTTGAATGAGTGTATATTTTGTTGTGTGTATTTCACCAAAAACAAAAAAGAAGAAGAAGAAGAACTGGATGGTTTTAACAGCAAAGTAGACACAGCAAAAAGAGGGCTAGTGAATTTGAGGACAGGTCAAGAAAAAATACTCAAACCGAAGTACATGGAGAAAAAAGAAGGAAAGAACAGAACTTTTAAAAAGCATGAAAAAATCTAGCATATGTGTAACTGGAGTCTGAGAAAAAAAGAAGAGAATGAGGCAGAAGCAATATTTAAGGAGATAATGGCCGAGAATTTTACAGCACTAATGAAAGACATAAAACCACAGATGCAAAAAATTAACACAAAATGGATCATAGGCCTAAACGTAAGAGCTAAAACTATAAAAATTCTCATACGAAAAAAAGGATTAAATTTTCATGACCTTGGATTAATCAATGATTCCTTCGATATGACACCAGAAAACATCAAAAGAAAAAGTAGATAAACTGGACTATATCAAAATTTGAAACCTTCGTGCTGCAAACAATATAATCAAGAAAGTGAAACTGACAGAAAGTGAGAAAATATTTGCAAATCATATATCCAATAAGGGACTTGTATTCAGAATATGTAAATAACTTTTACAACTCAACAACAAAAAGACAAATAACCCCATTTTTAAAAATAGTCAAAGGATTTGAATAGACATTTCTCAAAAAAAGATACACAAATGGCCAATTAGCACATGAAAAGATTTACAACATCATTAGTCATTAGGGAAATGTAAATCAAAGCTACAGTGAGATACTAGCTCACCCCTATTAGAATAGCAGTCATCAAAAAAATGGAAAACAACTGGTGTTGGCAAGGTTGCAGGGTAACTAGGATGCTCACCCATTGCTGGTGGGAATGTAAAATGGTACAGCTACTGTGGAAAAGAGTTTGGCACTTTCTCAAACCATATAACCCAACAATTTCACTCCTAAGTACATACACAAGAAAAATGAAAATATACAGCCAAACAAAAATAGAATGTAGTATACCCATACAATGTAAAATTATTAGGTAATAAAAAGAAGTAAAGTACATGTTACAACATGGATAAGCCTTGAAAAGACTATGCTAAGTAAAAGAAGCCAGATCCAAACAAACAACAACAAAAAACACAGATTGTATGGTTCCATTTATATGAAATGTCCAGAACAGGCTTATAGAGACAGAAAGAAGGTTAGTGGTTACTTGGGGCTAGGGGTGGG